CCTTCAATTCTTAACAAATCCTTGAGGCACTCACCGCTTGCAGCGTTCTTTACTCTTGTTGATATTGGAATTTGGAAACAAGAAATTAATTTGGACGGGCTTTGCGAATAAGGAGTTTTGGACTTGGGAGACATAATATAACTTGATAATTTTGTAATTAAAAGGATTATAAAACTTAGAGATCCGAAGAGAATTAAGAAAGGCGTTCCACTTTACATTTATTTTAAAAATTAAACCTTGAGCCAATTAATTGAGCTTAAAAATTAAAAAAGAAGCATACTCACATTATATACAAAGAAAAAAATTGGGCCTATCCCCCCCCCCTATTTTCTTGGGCCTAGGGCGGTCGCCCCTGTTGCACCCCCTAGGGCCACCCCTGATGATTGTGTCGTTACTATTTTCTCATAGGAGGAGGCTCTTTCTATTATGAGTACTCCTTTAAGTCTACGACAAGTGGAAGATGAGTTTCGGTGGCGACGATCCTTAGGGGCAATATACCATCCGTAGCAGTTACCGTGAACTTGTTGGGGAATTAGCACAAGTGGATGGTTCGAGTTGGATGGCTATGTAGGCTTGCTAAAGAGTTGAAAGGTTAAGGGAGGTGTCCTCGACATTGATTTTGAGGGATTTTAAAAGATTGTGAATTTCATGGATTGTAATGGAATTCTAAAGATTCTATGAGATTCTTTTACAATTCTATGGATTTTAAATGGATTTTAGTTCCATATCCCACAACTTTATTCCAATAGTTGCTGCTACTTTGAACGGAGTACCTAGAGCCCACAAATCCACAATATGAAACCTTCTCCTTCCCCAACAAGCCCACGAATATGTTGCAGCCAGCGGCCTTCTCCTTCCCCAGCAAGGAAAATGAAAGGGGGAGAAATCCATTAGAATCCAATGAGGGCTGGTGGTATTTTGTCAGGAGTGTTTTATGTGTAGAAATCCATGAGAATCCTTTAAAATTCATTAGAACAAATTAGAATTAAAATTCATGGAAAGATTGAGGACATCCGTATTTTAATGGAAGCTTTTAAGATCCATTAAAATCCAAATTGAGAACACCCAGATTGTGATGGATTTATAAAATCTTTTAAAATCCATATCGGGGACACCCTCATAAGATTAGACTCTGGCAGTTAGTCACATGTGTGTTACCGACGAAAGACTTGCTAAAGAAAAGACGGGTCCCGATTTCAGGAGTTTGCAATTTAGGTAGAGTGAATAAGGAAATTGATTATCATTTATATCTTTTGTGTCCCATAGTGACTAGAATTTGGAAGGCAATAGGATTGGAAAGTATGATAGGAGGAGGCTCGCTTGCATACAGTAAGATTTAGCAAGCTAGCAAAAGACAACATAACTTGTTTTGTTATGCTCCTCTAAAGCGGGCGTTTCTATGTATGATTGTGTTGTAACTTTTATTGTAAGATAGCTGGCAAACAATTTGTTGAATTAATTTGTTGGCGTTTTTTTCGGAAAATAAAATGAGTTCATCTACGCAACCCAATAAATCGCTCACCCTAGACGCCCCCATACTCGACCCAACATAATGGTGGGAGAGTAAATCTTGATATTATCTCAAACACTTTTTGAGTGAGGTGGTTCGAGTCGGGTGCACTCAAACACGATATGATTTCAAACAGTTTATGTGTGAGATATGTAGTCCAAATCTGATGCACACAAGGAATCATCACATTACATTAGATGAAACTCTCACAGTCGCCGCTGTCGGGAATTAAACACGAGACATTAATCCAACTGTCTCACTCGATGACTATTGAGTTGCCCGTGGGTATTGAGTTCAAATGATAATATGAGTCTTAGAGGTCGTTTGACATGTCGTTGCGAAATAATTAACTTACATGTGGAAAGTATGTATGCAAATAATTGACATCATTTGGTTGATTGTTTGATGTAAATATTTGTACATATATTTTAAAACACCGTTCGCTTTATACTCCATTTAGAATATGAGAGAATTAAAAATGTTAAGAAATTCTAAAATAGGACTAACATCTTTTTTATTCCCTGAATAGGAGTAAATTTTTGTTAAGTTTGACATTACTGGGTTTAAACATGGCATTTTTTTCAAACTTGGCAGATTACTCCTATTCAAGGAATAAAAAACATGATAGTTCTATTTTAGAATTTCAAAATATTTTTACTCCTATTTAGGACAATTTCTGTTAAAATATTTTATGTGGGGGCATGATAAAATAATTTGTATGTATCTAATAGATCTATGAACAGAAAATGCCCTAAATAGAAGTAAAAACATTTTGAAATTCTAAAATAGGACTATCATGTTTTTTATTCCCTGAATAGGAATAATCTGTCAAGTTTGGAAAAAAATATCATGTTTAAAGCCCGGTAATGCCAAACTTAGAAAAAATTTACTCCTATTCAGGGAATAAAAAACATGATAATCCCATTTTGGAATTTCAAAACATTTTTACTTCTATTTAGGGAATTCTCTCATTTATTAATGGAGTGCAATGATTATGCGTGTATTTTAAAATAAGGATGTTTTCTTTTGGACTGTTTTCAGTCTCAGATTAGACCGGACCAGATCAGACCGGACTTCCGATTTTATAAAATACACAGAGACCAGACGTTTATCAAACCAGACCAGACCAGATCAGACTAGACCAGACCAGCAATTTTCAGTCCAAAAGAAAACATCCTAAATTACACATTGAATGAAAACTATCTATTTTTATTTTTCGTTCAAAGCTTCTCTAAACCTAGCTTTGACAATCATTTTGCTGTGTGTGAAGTATCAATAAATTAACAAACAATCACTATTATAAAGAGCAGTTATATATTTTTCTCATTATATTGCATAAAATGTGGGTTGAATTCTCATTAGGTACTACGTATATAAATAATTCATAACAAAACTCATAAATCCATCAAAACTTTAGTTTATTGAATTACACTTTCCACAGGATGTAAGTTCTATAGAATCATTCTGGTTCTAAAAGTTTTGCATTAGAATCAGATAGAGAATTTTTAATCCATTAGATTTCATCCCAAGAAATCATGAATTTATAATATCATAAAAGATTAATTACATACTGAAGATCAGAGATTCAGAGAATGTTATTCCACTGCGTTTTAATTTTTCTTGTGTGCGCCCAATGATCTTGGGAGTTTACTTGCCGGTGCCGGCGCAGGTGCGACCTTGCCGTTGCCGTCCTTGTGGATTGGCTGCAACAATTAAATTTATCAATTCGTTTAGATTGTATCAAATAAATATAACATGTTGCTAAATTGTCAGCACAAAAGTGCACGTACAATTTTTTATTTATATACTAAAATGTACTCTTTTTTATATTTAAAAATAGTAGGCTACATATACATGTCATTTTCTTAAGTTATCTATTTGATAAAATTATAGGCAAAATGTACTCTGCTGACCAATTAAAAATAACAATTGAATAGTTTAAATATTAATAAATGATGAGATAATTACTTGGATCGATCAAATGTATTGCAGGTATAATATCCTCGTTCATTTGTGAGGTGTCGTACCACTGCTGCTACTTACTTTCACTATGCACAAGTTTAAAAGGCGAAAATTCTACTACGTATGTAATTGAGATTAATTTAAAGATGATACTACCTTCGTCCCAAAATACACTTAGACATCTATTAAAATTTGGATCATAATTTTGATTAGTATAATATTATAAAAGTTATAAATTTTAAACTTTTATGAAACTACTTTTAACAAAGAATATTTTCTACTCCGTATCATTTTGGTATGATAAATAATTTTCAATAAAAATATACAGTTGATCAAAGTTTTAAATTTTACTACATATTTTAGGACGGAGGCAATATATTTTTTAATTTCCAGAAAATGGGAATATTTTAGAGATGTATGAAACAATAAAATGGAAGGATAATTTAGAGAGTATTTCATAAATCATATATACGTATCTTTGATACTATATGTAGGTATGTATAACTATGTACGTAGGTATATTATTAGAAAATGGCAAGTAAAATACCTTTGCTATCATGGAAGTTTGAATAGCTTGTCTAGAACTATCACCGCTAAACATGTCTGAATCTTTTTTAACTGTATGGATAGGATGACTAAAAATGTCAGAATCCTTTTTAACAGTAACGATAGGGCCACCAAACATGTCAGAATCCTTCTTAATGGTATGAATAGGACCAAACATGTCAGAATCCTTCTTAACTGTATGGATATGATCACTAAAAATGTCAGAATCCTTTTTAACGGTGATGATAGGACCACCAAACATGTCAGAATCCTTCTTAATAGTATGAATCGGGCCGCCAAACATGTCAGAATCCTTCTTAACCGTATGGATAGGATCACTAAAAATGTCAGAATCCTTTTTAACTATAGGACCACCGAACATGTCAGAATCTTTCTTAATAGTATGAATAGGGCCGCCAAACATGTCAGAATCCTTCTTAACCGGATGGATTTTATCACCAAAAATGTCAGAATCCTTTTTAACTGTAACAATAGGACCAGGACCACCGAACATGTCAGAATCTTTCTTGATAGCATGAATGGCGCCGTCAAACATGTCCGAGTCAGCGGATACGCAAAAGATAAGGTTAGAGGAGAGGGCAACCATGGACATCATCAAAAACACCACAACAGGCTTTTGGTTGCCAGCCTGCCCAGCCATTGTTATGGTGTTCTATTTCTTTTTCGTAATCCCCTTATTCTTTTCCTCGGGCTTTTTTCTTTTCCTTGAAATTTCGAGTCTTTTTTGTTAGCTTGGATTCGTCGTGTTTTTTATGACCGATTATTGAAAGACGTGGGAGTTGTTATTTATATTACATTGTCCAATGGATTATGCAACAATTTGATTTTTTTCAAAGGTTATGCAATATGTACGGATTGACATGTGACTTTGCTTTGTGTCCGGACTCCGGATTAGATGTTTAACCATAGGACTATTTTTTTTTTTTACATCTAACAGTAAAAACAACACATAAACAATGGATGAGAACCCACCCTTTCGAAAGCCACACATTTTTCCAAAAATTTATTTCCTCATTCCCCTAAATCCAAAACACTAGAAAACCAATGCTCTATATTATGCTTTTCCATGAAATAAGTTCATAAGGGATCAACCCCTCGTCACGAGAAAGAACGGCTCGTGCCATCAACTTGCCAACCCAACCATGGTACAACAAACCCCTTGAACCGAGCCCGGTAAGTAACCAAAACTTATTATCCGTTTGATTCCCGGACACAAACTCATCAACACAACCCAATAGTGGAAGTGATCCTTGAGGTGTGAGTGGAGGAACTGCCCTTAAGCCTCCACTCATACCCGTGACAGTAGTCATATTCTTTATGGCAGGATACATTGCCGAAGCTTTGCGATGCAGAAGCTCTTCTATGGCTTTATTACCTTCCTCCCGAGAAACCCCCCTTGAGTAGTTCCTCGAGTTCCAGTCCCATGTGGCACCTACTCGGAGATCTTGTGGGCCATGAAAGGCAATCCATGCATCAGATAATATGGAGGGGGAGTCCGCGGGATAACCGTCTCTGAAATCAAAGCACACAAAAACAAAAAAAAATGCATAGTGTAAAGTTGGGAACTAAAGAAGGAAAATATCATTTTTGAAATGTTTTGAGGCTCTTTTTGGTAATTTCCTAAGGTTTCTGGACCATTTTCAAAATTTTCGAAGATCACATGCAGGTTTTAGAAATGAATACTCCCTCCGTCCTAATATAAAAGGCACGTATTCCTTTTTTGACCGTCCCAATATAAAAGGCACATTTCCCCTTTTGGCAAACAAAACAGTGCAAAACAGTGTCAAACAGTGGCCAAACAGTGTCGAAACAGTGCCAAACAGTGTTCCTCCTAAAAATGTTTGAAAAAGCAAATGTGCTCTTTATATTGGGACGGAGGGAGTATAAAACTGTCATGGAACTAGTTGTGATGTACTGATGTATCATGTATGATGTTATTAAATTTTATATATGATGTATAATATGGAGTAATAGTTACCTAACGTCATCATCAACCTTCAAGTGAGCAATGATGCCCCTGCATGTCCGCAACGGGATCCTTCCAGAGAGTTCTGGGAGAAAAGCTGCTCTAGCACCAAGACATATTATCACTGCATCATACTCCCCTGAAAGAAATGTCCCATAACAAACCCTTTGATAATTTAAGATCTGTTTGAGAATAGGAAAATGTTAAGGAAAGAAACTAATGGAAAAAATAACATAAGATTGGAAGGAAAGAAAACGTGGAGAAAAGTAAAAGACCGACTTTAACCCAATAGATTTATGTTTGAAATTTCATTAAACTCATTTTGTTCATGTGTGTCTATCATATAAGGATAAGAAATCTAAATATATGGAAAACGTGCCACAGCATTTTTCCCAAGCATTTCCAAGAAAAGGTGTAAAAAAATAATTTCCCCAGCATTTTTCTTTTCCCTGATCCAAACACACCTTAAGTAACATATTGCAAAGACATTGAGAAGTCCATAAACAAAACTAGGGAAAAGGGTCAAATAGGCCCTCAAACTTACGTAAAAAGGTCAAATAAGCCCTTATGTTCTTGAAGATAACTGCACAGTTATCTTCAAAAATTCATTTGAATGCCTTACCGATTGAAGTTTTAGCTGAAATTTGGTATGAGTAAACTAGACTTAATGAATAAGATGCTCAAAAAAATTCATCAAAAAATTCCACCGGGAACCGCCCCAAATGGTGACGGCTGGACAGAGGCTCCTATATAAGGACTTATTTGACCTTTTTATGTAAGTTTGAGGGCCTATCTGTCCCTTTTCCCACAAAACTATTATCACAGGCTTAAAAAGGAAAACTAGAATTAAAAGATTGCCACATGATAAGGACAACTGTAAGTATTAGGACTGAAAAGCTTCATGTTTCTTTTTCTCATTTGATTGTTTTTGCTGGTCAGAACTTACCTGCTAGGTCTAGGAGACGATTGATGGGTTTTTTGTGTAAACGCAACTCTTTAAGTGCACCGCCAGAATTGGGAGATTCTTTTGCAGAAAGTTGGCATGCTGAGTAGAGAGCCTATAACAATGTCATCACATGGCAAAGTAAAAATTTAAAACTATGTTCAGGAAAAAGAAAACATATAAGGAAAACATGGAGGTAGAATAGGGAGGCAGACAATATCATGTTTGGGAAGGGAAGGGAAAACTATGAACGAAAAAATAGGTCTTATTTTGCATCCTCCTTTTTCTTACCAAAGTGGAAGGAAAAGTCACCATTTATTATGAAACCCGCCCTTTCTTATCCTGCTAGTTAAACTTTAATTTTTTTAGGATATACTACTAAGGTTCCCTGAAATAAAAGATAATAAACTTAATTACTTTCTTTTTTAACTCAATCCAACATTCCAAGCATAAGAGCCTTAAGAGGTGACATTATTTTAATAATTACTTTTCTAGGGAAAGGAAACAAAATGCTAAGCAGAGTAGTTATGTACTTATGTTTGTCTTTACCACGGCTAATTCTAGGGAAAATGAATTATGATTAATATAATAAATTTATGCTAATGTTTAGATTTCTTAATAGAATAGAAGTGTTTTTTCATTCCCTCACCTTAAGATAGCATTGGGAATTTACAGTGAGAGCTTGAGGCATGTGAAAGGCCAGGTCTAGAGGCACATATAAACCTGGAATCAGCTCATGTGCAGCTTCTTTATCAATTCTCTCTATTCTACAGCTTGGGAGGCCTTTCTGAGCATTCTACTGAAGCATAATAAATAAAAAGTTGTCCTCATTTATAATAATATAGTATTACATGTCTATAGTCATGTTAGCAGTTTGAGCACTCACATCAATCATAATTTCCATATTCTTCACACTATGTGCAGGCCTCAGGATTCCACTGTGGGGTATGGGAATAAAGAAACATGTGAGAAAAGGGGTAAATTTTATAATACTTTGGTATGAGAGAAATAAAAGAGAAAGAGAACAGAAAGAAGTGTGTGTTACTGTGTTGTAAAGTTGTGAAACAAAATACATATGGAGTACTTCGTAAATAACATTGGGTAACAAGAAAGATACACAAAAGGGAAGAGTAAAATTGGAAACCAAATCACAAAGAAAGAGCATTTAAGACACTTCTTCACATCCTCAGAAAAGAAACAAAAATGTGGGACGGCTGACTTTATTTACCTTTCATCTAAAAATGTACTTCTAACCACATAACAATATACTCCTGCATATGTGAATATGATTGTAAGGCCATGCCTCTGAGTTAGGGAAACTGTGTGTAGCGAAACCCACTCTTTAATGATCAAGGAGAGGACTGAAAAGAAAAGAATGCCCTAACCTTCTTCCAACCATAAAGTCATTTCCTATCTGACCATGATCTTCTTGTTCTTTGAAGTACAATGATTTGGACACTTTTACATCTTCAGCTATCCTTAAAAGATTTAAACTCTCCTTCCAACACTCTTCTCCTCTCCAGAGTAGCTTAACTGCAAAGAAATGATTAGAAAACTGATATAAAGCCGTACCAAAATCTCAACCTGGTGGTTAACATAGAATGTGTTCAGTTTGAACCTTTAGGAGAGTATGGATGAAGGAGTCCTCCAGATACTCCAGATGCGCCTCCACCAAAGCCAACTTCATCATATATATCAATGAAAAGGTGTGACTCCTTGGGACTTTCCTGAAAAATAAGATTATATAGCAATTAAAAACAGCTCAAGTGGAAATTGAAAGAAAAAAGAGGTGACGAAGAACTACATTAAACATACAAAAATGAATAAGGAAGAAAGATGCAAAATTATAAAACCACATTTGACCCATCAGAACACAAAGGTTATATGTTTGAACCCTGGAAAATGAAAGGGAAAGACGAAAAAATGCTAATGGAAAATGTATTTGTTTACAAAAAAATGTTTGGTTTTGCATAGCAAAATGTGAAATAAAATAAGTTTTGATAAAATAATAAATTAAACTTTACCAGCTTAGCTGTGTATTCAGATTTCTGTGCCTTGGAATAATAGAAATTTAAAAAACTTAATGTTGAGCAACTAGCTAAAATTGATTATTGAGTTTTAACTATCTTTTACTTTCTCCAAATATTATTTACTCTCAAACTACATTCCCCTCCCTATTTTCTTTTATAGTTACAAACGGACCCTAAAGATGGAGTCTTTTCCACTTCCCCCACTCATATCCCAGAAGAAAAAACATGTGCAGATGCTCGATTGCTCACTTCTCAATCAGAAGCTACTTACAGATTATCTGCACATTAAAGAAACGATATACACAATAGTTCTATAATGAAGAAATAAAATACCTGCAACAAATGCCAAACCACAGACAGCCCGGCATATCCAGCACCAAGAACTGCATATCTGTTTGAACAATCCAAACAAAAGTCACGACTCACGAATTCAATATTGCTGGAAAATGCACACATTTATTCACAAATATCTCTATCAAACGATTAAAAAGGTAAACCTAATGGGCCGCTCAGAGAGAGCAGAGTAACAGCGGATACGGAACAGAGAAGAAGAAGAGGAAGAAGAAGGCACCGTTATTAGTGAAATAGATTTTTTTATCTGAACAGAGCTGCCAAGAAAAGATACCAATGGTGATATTGGTTTTACTTTCAAGGAAAACGTTGCTGAGTATTGGGAGAGTAGCGCCATAGATTGTCCCTATTCCGGTTGATGATTGTGTAGCTAAGACTGTTGAGAGAATGGGGGTAAGTGTTACTTCAGAGCCGTATGTTCACGGCGGATGATGAAACATGTGAGGGAGGGTTGTAATGAAAAATGTGATGAAACATTTTTGAGCAGACTATTAGTATATAAAATCATGTTTAAATTTTACCCTACTAATATGATTGAACATTTGGGTTAGCAATGGGATGGGGTTTTTGTGGCAGTTGCTTGATGGTAATTTCTGGTGCTCCTTGTTGGATCTTTATGGTGTTTTTGCTGTTTGGAATTGATTAAAGAACTGTTGTTGGTGCTGGCAGCTTCTGGTGTTTTCTGATGTTCATTAGCGAGGAATATTGACAAGGTTTTTAGTCTATACATGAATGGTGTAATGTGTAAACTCAAAAATATGACGCTTAAGCAATTTTTGTCTTTGTAATGATTAAGCTACGAGGGGATGCCCTTTGGATGTTGTATATATTTTGCAGTTATTTATATATTTATCTTTCATAAAAAAACACATAAAATAATTATAAGAGGTTGATACTACATTGATAATTATAATTTATAAGAGTGAAGGGACTTCTTTAAGGGTGATTCCTAAGATTGGCATAGTATCACCAATCGTAGAATAGTTCCAACTTTAATGTTGAGTTATCCAAATTGTTTCACTATTGATCGTGTGAGGCATAATGGAAAGGATCCCCTTAATATTCACGTGTTTGGGTGGTTTTCTTAAGAGAAAGAGGGGGTTGGGGTTATGGAAGTTATTGTAAAGGTTGGAGTGAGTTTTTTTTGCATCAGTTGGTTATGAAGGATTTTTATAATTTGGTGTACGAGGGTGATAAGAAAAGGAGGCCATTATATTCACCTTGAATGTTACATGAGTGAAGGGGACTAGTGTATGAGAGTGAGTTCATTTGTGTGACGTTTCTTTTGATGGGTACGTACTAATCATGTATGAGGGTGGAAGGCATAACGTGGGTGGACGAGATGTTGGATAGGATGTTGACCTTGGAGGGATGTCTCGATCTATATATAATGGGAACTCGAAATGCTTAAGTATGGACGTAGGATGGGGCATCTTGTGATCACATCGAACTCTTTTCACGTTAGACAATTATATATGCTCAACCATCGAGTACAATGGATATGCATAGTACAAATTTCCTTCATTAACCTTCATTGATCTTTGATAGTGTATTCATGATCTCAGATGAGATTGCAAAGAAATTTTGAGTCATATCCTCCAAATATCTTCATTTCAGCTCAAGAATATCTTGCATGCCGCCTCATTTTCTATAGATTTTTCAGATCCAGCACCGATTGGGCCTCAATTTCCTCGAAATTCACAAGTGTCCAACGCCGGTTAGCATAGGTCCAGAGCCAGCTAGGCCAGTGAGATGATCGACGTTGATTAGGTCCTATTCCTATGTTGGTTGATTCCTAAATGGCAATTACATAGTTTGAGGTACTTTTTGCTACATACGGTGGCCTAGAAGTGTTGATCCCCTGGGATTTATGACTTCGTTTTCATCGCTTTTTATCACAATTCAGGTTTTTGACACATAGGTAATTATTGTGCCTATAAACAACAAGAAATACTTCTACTAGATACATACAATTACCATTTGGTAGTATCAAAACGTCTCTTTGTACTCATATGAATCAGCTCATCAAATATCAACTCATCATTTCCAAACATTTGAGTCTGTACTATGGTTTTCAGTGGTGCTTTGAGGGTTTCTCCACACAAGATTTTCACATCGGTTTCTCGTCTCATTCTTGACGGAATCAAGCTTCTGCATTCATTCAAATCCTGTGTCTTTGCATATTTGTTGAAAGACCTCTTGCATGAGCGAATTTTCCCCAACCTTTCATGTACTGGCTTTCTCTCAAAATTTTGCCCGCTACATGGGTCCTCAACGTGCTTCACGATGACCGGGATCATCGAAAACCTTTCTTGTAAAGTTTTCTTCATGATCTTCTTTGGCTTCGGCCCCATTCTATCAAATATGGCGGGTCTTGATCTTGTCCTCCCAATCTGATCAAAGACGAAATACTACGGCTTAGAAGTCACTTCATCTTCTTCACCACCACCGATATGATGTGTTGCTGCTCTATTTATGAGGATCCTTATGGGTTTCGGCTGAACATAACCCAATCTTGTGTGCCCTTGAAGATTGATCTGCTTCGGTTTCCCTTCACCACCAGCTTCCGGAATGAGTTTTCCAAACTTTTGTTCGTTGCGATTATACCCAGCCTTGGCCAGAAGTTCGTATGAGTTTGGGTCAAATCACTCATTTGTGTGTGCCTTAGGGAGCTGAAATGCCTTAACATCATTTTCATTTTCACCTCCTCCTCAGATGCATTTTGAGGAGGCCTCGACATCTCAATCTTTGCAAGAGGGAATGTAAGCCCTTCTATGTGTTCAATAAGCTTCCCTTTTAGCTTTGGTACAATCAAGGGGCGATATTCTTCCTCTTGTCTAGCATCATCATCTTTAGAAACTTTGGCCTTTATGTAAAATTTCGCATCTGCAAAGTATGTCTCGGCTTCTGTGAATGAAGTTTCATCGGCCACTATCTTCTTTGCAACACCATTTTCCTCATACATGAAGCATGGATGCCACGTTGAAGGAATTACACCATTCTCATGGATCCATGGGTGTCCCAGAAGGAGATTGTATGAAGCCTTTGCATGAATGTCATAGAGTGATTGCCTTCATTCCGCTAATAACCAAATTAAGTCACATCATTCCAATCGCCCTTTGCTCCCCTTGATTGAAGCCTTGAATCATTAAGCGGCTTTGAGCGTGTTCATCCATTGATATATAAAGGTCTTTCATAGCTCGAACCGTTAAAATGTTAACGGAAAACCCTTGCTTGATCTATCATTGTTCTTCTGAATCTTTGTCCACGGGTGTATCCTTCAACAAAGAGTGGACGGTTATGGGGAGTTGCGCCCAACATAAGATCTTCGTGTTTAAAGACAATGTCAGTGACGTGTGAAGTAGATTTTTGTGCTTCGGTCACTTCTTTCTTAGTCGAAACTGGAGATGAACATCCATTTGAACGCTCAACTTCTTTCTCGTGGGTGTTAAGACAAGAACTCGAAATTTGAGTCATCTCGTCATTGAAATCCTTTGGCATAAAGTCGTTGAGAGTAATCACCCTTCTCGCAACCTTGGATCGAACACAGTCCTTCCTTTACTTCTTTCTCTTCAACTCGTTTATCCATTGTTGCATGACCCAAATCTTTACCACCTTCTTTGGTTGTGGCTTAGGTTTGTGGTCCTTCTTTTGTTTCTTTCGAGTTACCAAGGTCCATGATCTTCCTTTGTCATCAACATCCTCAAGTGTCATTTTTTTAGTGAGAGGATGGCATTCTTTCATTCCCTTGACAGTAAAAAGGAGCTTATGTTTGTTAAAATTTGGATCGTCGTTGACCATTAGCAGAGCAAACCTACCAAATGTAATGGTAATTTGGTTTGTATTTGCTGCAGAATCAGCAAGTTCAATCTTTCTCTCGCAGGCTAAATCCATAATCTTGTCTTTGAACACCCAACACTTCTCTACCGGGTGACTCAGCACTCTTGGTATTTGCAGTAGTTAGTAGGATCATTGACCTTTGTGGCTTCCTCAGGTCATCTTGAATGGGGTAAATCAACAAGTTTCAACCTCGTGAGTTCATCAAACATTGGAGAAACATCAGACTCCAAGAAAGGATGTTGCTTCTCCATCATCTCTCGCAAAGTCGGCTTGACACGCCCTGAGGCTTCAGTTTCAACTTTATCAACTTGTTTCGCCTTCTCAGTAGTTTGAGTGAAGACTTTGACTAGTGAAGCCTTCACAACCATTGCTTCTTTCTTTTCAAATTTAGAAAAGGGCGTGCCCCCTTTCTTGGTATCTTGCTTTTCAGCGGCATTGTTCATGGGATAGATGCCCATAGGTTGTCTTCCAATGCTTGCAATACTTAACTCCATGTTACGAGTTTTGCTTGCTAATTCATCGAAAGTAGCTGGATTCACTCCCTTGAGCATATAACATAACTCCCAATGCATGCCTTCAATGCACATATCAATTACGGAGTTTGTAGAGATCCGATCTTTGCAGTTGAGGGCAAGATCTCTCCAACGCTCGATGTAGGTTATTACGGGCTCATCTTTCCATCTTTCCTTGTGCTTCAAAAAAGGTTTAAGAACTCACGTTCCAATTTTATTCTGCACTTTCCACAAAATTAGGAATTTTTATTCTATTTTATACGCGTTAATCAATGACTGGTTTCGTCCTTTGTATGTATACTTTAGTAGTCTAGTCCCTTCATCCAAAACACGATGTATCTGAAAATGTGTTATTACTATTAAAAAAATCTGTATTTAATTGAACAAATCAGATTTGATTGGAATATATGTATTATTTCGAACAAATTGTGCCAAGCAGGTGAAGTAATAAAAAAATTAGCTACACCAATAAGTAAATTTAAGAGTATAGCTAGATTTGAAGATTTCCAACCATGGTACCTTACTAAATATTAAAGAAGATGACTTTTTTTTTGGTAAAACGTGGGTTTTTTAGGGGTGAGCATGACTCTTTTTTAGGGAAGGAGGTAGTACTATTCAATGAAGCAATTCCACTTTTGGTCCGGGTTGACAAGCAACAATAGTCATGTACCAAATATGGACAGTGTGAAAGACATGAGCCTAATTGTGAGATTGGTATAATAGATCAAATGTGAAAATGTTCTTATTCAATTTCATTCTAACTTTCTTCTGGACTTATTTCAATTATCAGACAGTTTATACACTATTTATGAAGGGCATTGTTGTCCTCTGAGGACTAAATTAGGTCATAATCAAAGGCTAAGTTGGGTCTAGATTTAGTGAATCAGCGAAAGTACTATTCTTTCATGGAAGAAATCTAATTAGTGTACACTTGACGGATTAAGTCGTGTATTAACACTAATAATCTATATTGTGATCTTCTTAGAGTTGTTTGGTGCTTTTTTGAAGGATCAGCAGATGAAATAATCAAGCAAAAACTTCGGGCTGTTGCTGAGGATGTAGCGGCATCTGTTCTCCAATCATCCCTTCCTTCTAACACAGAGCATAGCAGCGAAGTTCGAAGTGCGGGTGAAGAAAAGCATTCTGACAGAAATAAGTGCGAGGTTCCCACCTTGTCTCTAGTTGCCTCTATAATTTGTCTGTTCTATTGTGTATTGCATATTTATCACTCGGTTGTTTTACACATGTTTTTGTTCAGAAAGTGGAAACTGAGTTGCCAGAGAGGATAGATTTTGGATTTGCTTTGTCAGGTGACATTGGTCACTTGCAGCCTTGCAGGTTTGAATTATTTTACTTCAAATGATATTTGGCAAAATATTTATGTTGGGGAAAATTGCACTATTAGTCCCTGAATTGTTTACATTTCGGAATTCGAGTCTTTCAACTTTTGTAATTTAATCTTTTGGTTGTACTAATAATTTAGATACAATTTATCATTTCGGTTTAACCACTGTTCACGAAGTTGAGTATTAAGGCTTCGCAAGGGCATTCTCACTATTCCATATTGTAAAGAATGCCACCATAAATCTGAACAATAAATCGTTCATTTAACAGGATTGACCTAATGTATCTCAATAATAACAATCGAGTGGCTTAGGCTCTGTTTGGCAGCTAATGATGACTATTTTCTAATCAGCCGGATCACTAGTTTTGACTTGTTTCGCTGAAAGGGATGTCCCTAATCACTTTTTATCACTAAACAAATTTGCAGATTAAGGCATTAGAGCCAAATAACCCTTTGGAAATTGATCTTAAATTTACGAATTTTGAAAGACAGGTCCCATAATGTCAAAACATCTGAGGGAGTAGAAAGTAGAAAGTATGATTCTCCATTTATGTTGTGCAGTTGAACTAATAACAGAAGCTGTCCTTTTCTGCTACCACCTCTTTGTGCGTAGATTATAAAAAACAACGATCTTGAAGAATTTCGAGAATTGGGTTCAGGCACTTTTGGCACTGTTTTTCATGGAAAGTGGAGAGGAACAGATGTTGCTATCAAACGGATGTTGCTATCAAACGGATCAACGACAGATGTTTTGCTGGAAAACCTTCAGAAGAAAAACGAATGGTTGGTTTCTTTAGGGTCTGTTTGGAACTCATGAAGTTCTTGCAAAAGAAAACAGGGAAGAATAATACGGGGGGAATCTGAAAGAAAGAAGATATGTGGGGAGGGGGTGATAAAACACTAGTCAAACTCAGTATATTAGAATTTCTAGAAATACTAATCGTATGTTTTTTTTTTTGCATTTCCCGAAGTACAACCGAACTGTCTAGTGTATAATCACATAACTTTAACCTCTGTCGGTCTCTGATCTAAAAATAACCTAAAGTTTTAATTAATGATTTCCTTTATATTCAGATTACCTTTTTTCAGTTGATGCTAATAATGACCTTTTGCCGTGTTACATGCAACACCTTTAATATAAGAGGGAAGATTTCTGGAATGAAGCCATTAACCTTGCGGACTTGCACCATCCAAACGTTGTTGCATTCTATGGTGTTGTGCTTGATGGGCCCAATGGTTCTGTGGCAACAGTTACCGAATATATGGTTAATGGTTGTCTGAGGAATGCTCTGCACAACCATGAGATGTAACAATCTTTCTTCTTGTGCGGATTAATAATGTCAGGCAGAGTAAAAGTGTACTTAAGATTGGGCTATGTACCCAAAATCACCTGACTTTCAACAAAGTTACAAAACCCCCCATTTGACCCATGAACTCTTCAAGGGCCCCGTTGAGCCTCAGAATTAACTGAAGTCTTAAAATAATTTTGGACATGACTTTTTTGGATTTATGACCCGTTTTTTGTTACAACTGATCTTATAATTTTTTCAATGAACCGCTTGTTGCCGCCATTCATCTTATGATCGGAATTGATGGAAATGCATATCATGTTTGGCAGGAGCATTGATAAGTGGAAGCGTATTTTGATAGCAATGACGTCACCAAAGCGTAGATTGTACACTTTGACTTGAAAAGTGATAACCTATTGGTTAATCTCCGCGATCCACAACGCCCTATTTGCAAGGTCAGTATGTTTCCTCTTCATACACGCGCTCCGATTAGAGTAACAATTACAGAATTAAAGCTGTAAAACTAATTCAGGGATATATTATATTTTATTGTCAAAGAATGTTGGAACTTTATCTGTCTACTGAGGCTTTAATTTTTTTATAATAATAAAAACAACAATTATAATAATAAATAAGATAATAAATTTCCTTTGTATATGATGGCCTTGTCACTTAAGATTGTAATTTGTGAAGGTTGGCGATTTGGGGCTCTCCAAAGTGAAATGCCAGACACTTATCTCAGGTGGTGTGCGTGGGACCCTTCCATGGATGGCACTCGGGCTTCTGAATGGCAGTAGTAATCTTGTCTCGGAGAAGGTGGGGCCTTCACAAGTCCCTTACTATAAGCACATTCTTTAAGTTATTGTTCACCCAAAATGACATGTCGTTTTATGCTGTTGATAAATGTAAATGGATGTGTTCATAGGTTGACGTTTTTTTCTTTGGAGTCGTAATGTGGGAACTTTTAACAGGAGAAGAACCATATGCAGACTTGCATTATGGCGCTATAATCGGTAATGCTCATTCACACTCCAAAGTTGTTTCAGTAAGCACACCCAAGGCGTCCCTTGCCTCCCCCTCCTATGCTTTTTTTGCTGCCCAATCGTGCATATGTCTTAGAGGTGGGTATGGTCTGTCTGCTTTCACTCTGATTCACATTTAGGAATGGCTGGTTAGAGTACCCCATTTGGCAGAATCTTAATAAGAATAGTTGTGTAGGGGGTTGGTAGTAACTAGTAAGTCATCCTATCCCGTCGAATATAGATATACAAATTAATATATACGGAGTAAAGTTCTATGTATGAAACTATCCATCATATCAGGTTGACCTTTTAGGGTAGTAACATCAAATTTCAGTATAAAGGTGTGTGATTAAACTGCCTGTTCAATGGTACCTGACCGCTTTTCTTAGTGTGAGAAAGTGACAGGGATGAGAATCGGGAATAAGAACTGGTGTCAGGTTCCCTATATATAGGAATCATTTCATGAACATGGGAGGAAAAAAACTCTCCACTTATGGTTTGGATTGGGACCTTTTTCACTTGCAATACTGACTTATACACAATTGCATGCAGGCGGTATTGTGAGCAACACACTGCGGCCGACTATACCAGAATCATGTGACCCCGACTGGAGAGCTCTCATGGAAAGATGCTGGTCAGCTGAACCATTGGAGAGGCCGAGTTTCAGTGAGATTGCAAATGAATTGCGGGTTATCGCATCAAAGTTCCCAAGCTAATGGCTACTTACATCCGCAATTTCCCAAGCTAAATGTTGGACCCTTATACATAGTTATTAGTATAGTTATTGTCTAGCCTCTTTTTAAAAAATTGTTAGTGAAGTTCATGTAAAAGAACGTTTATTTGAGATGAAGATCCTATACTTATTTATATAAAATATAAAATCAGAACTGGTCGTTATGTAAGTATGTGACCAATTTCATGCATTTGTATATATTACAATCAACATTCGCAGTCTCGCAGACAATCAATATTCAGTTGGTGGCTTGGTTAATATATTTCTCATTAACCAACAAAAAATCAAAAATCATATCATTAGTCGAAGTGTACGTTTCCTCAAACACTAATAGAAGAGTTATATAATTTTTTGATACGTTCATTTGTGGGCCTGTGGCATCCATTCATTAGATAATTCAAGAGTTAGATAATTTTTTTATTATCCAATAGGTGAATCGTTGAATCACAATATCACACACAAGAATGTACTACAAAAATGTAGTACATGTGTATCTTGCCTTGCCCAAGGAAAAAATAAATGAAGTTACTCTTTTTGCAGCAATGGCTGAAACTAATGAAATTTTCACTTTAAGCTTCATATGTAGATTTTTATTCTACACTTATTTAATAAATATATTGAATATACAATACTTTGGATGACTTGGCATATTCCGTCGTTTAACCAAATTATATACGGAGTAAGACCATTTGTAGTGGTGGGGAGGCTAAATTGTTAAATTTAGACTCCGTCCATATGAAAACAGTGTTTAGACTCCGTCAATACTGTTTTTTCCCGCATCCGTGCACCGTCAATAAAATACACTCTACATATTTTTTTACCTACCAATTTAGTAAAACCTTAATTTAATTATTATAAAAAGTATTTTCCTTTTAATATTTTACCTAGATAATTATGAAGTAAAAGATACGCATTTCGATGTAAAAAAAATCACTAACTTTTTTAAATGATTTTTTGGTTAACAATAACTTAGTTAAAATAAAATTCGATTATGGAATATTCACTTATTATTTGTGAAGGCTTAATGAATTAAAAATTCGTGTTTCGTGCTTTTTTGGGTTCACCAAAACTTCAACAGTTAAAATTAATTTTTTTTTCGTTGTAGGTATTACATATTGGTGTCATATGAAAAATCATAAAAAATCATGAATTTTGATATATTTTTTGAAGAATTTGGAGAAAAAATAAAAAAGTTATAAGAGTTTAAAATAAAATGGGATTTTAATGACGTAAGTGTGACATCAGCATGACGTCAGCAGAACCATCAACAACGCGCAGCAGCCGCCGCTTTTCTTTTTTTTTTTCTTTTTCCTTTTCTTTCCCCCTGTCAACCCAACCCTCTATTTTTAGCCTCCTCCACTCCCCTTCCCACTTTTACTCCCACTTTTAATCTCCCACTACACTCAATTAAGAGTCTAAAAGTTCCATATTTAATTTTTTGACTCCTAATCTGTAACCACTACAAATGGTCTAATATTCAACTATTTCCTGAGGTTTAAACCATACCAAACAGACCCTAATAGCTGAGCCTAATTTACAGTTTGATAAAAGTTCACGAAAAATAAATCGAACAATGGAAAATCGACAAGCTCATCAGCACTCAGCAATGCGGCCATCAAAGTGCTGTTTGGGGAAGAAACCTCATCATATTGTATTACCAGTAATCCATACAAGAACACACACCATCCTTAAAGTGATGGAAACGGTTTGTGTCTCTAACAAAAATTTCCCTCCCTTCAAACATTGATATGAATTTCATAAACGAATGACAGTCACCACAAATTCTAAGATTCTTTATAACCCGAAGAGGATACCCTTTGCCAGTGTTCAATATTCCGAGAACAACCGCCAACTTCTCGCTATGTCCACATAAAATCTGTTCCTTCTCTTGTTCTTCCACATCCTGTAAGACAAAATCTGTGTTGGGCAAAACCCCTGATTTCTTCATTTCCAAACTCAACTCGGCTAACTTCTCCATGATCATTCTCATCTGGGGATGTGATTTGTCACCTGCTAAAAGCATGTGGACTATGTTCTTTACTTCAATCCAACTGCAACCTGGATTCTTTCTCAAACCCAAATCTTCCATCTTTTTCCTGATTTTGTCCACTTCGTTAAATTTTTTATTATAAGCGTATATATTGGACATGAGGATATAGTTTCCTGGATTTGTTGGCTCTAGTTTGAAAAGTTCATTAGCTGCAACCTCACCTAAATGCATGCTATGATGGGTTTTACAAGAACTCAACAATGCACCCCAAACACAAGCATCCGGTTTGAAAGGCATTTTTGTAATGAGAGAGTGAGCTTCTTCGAGCCTTCCTGCACGGCCGAGAAGGCTCACCATACAAGCGTAATGCTCAGGTCGTGGTTCGATCCCATGATCCTTGGTCATGACATCAAAGTAATACTCTCCTTCCTCACTAAGCCCTGTTTGGCTACACGCAGACAAAACACTCGTAAAAGTGATTGCATCGGGTTTCACTCCCCCATTTTGTAACATCGAGTGTAAAACACCAAGCGCTTCATTGGCTTTTCCGTGCATCGCGTACCCACCTAGTAGGGCATTCCAAGAAACTAGGTTCCTGGTCGGCATTTTGTCAAAGGTGAGACGGGACAAATCTACCCTTCCACAATTGGCATACATATCGACTAATGCACTCGAAACAAATACGTCATCAACAAACCCCCTTCGGAGGGAGAAGCTGTGTGCGGCTTTCCCGTGCATTAATGCCGCTATATTGCCACAAGCAGGAAGCAAACAAGGGATCGTCACCCGGTTCGGTTCGACCCCGTCCATTTGCATTTCTCTGAAAAGTTCAAGAGCTTCCATGTCTTTGCCATGTTGTGAGCAAGAAGCAATGATGGAAGTCCATGAGACCACGTTCAGTTCCATTTCTTCATCCCTACACTGTTTGAAAACCCTGATGGCATCATCAACATGGCCTGTCCGGGAAAGCCCGGAAACCACAGCATTGCAAGCACCCAAATCCTTTTTATCAGTTTCTTCAAACACACACATAATCTCTGGTGCACAATTACATTTCCCATACATATCAATAAGAGAGCTTACTATACAAATATCTTGTTTCAGACCCAGCTTGATCACAAACGCGTGTATCTGAATGCCAATATTTAAATCACTCAAGTCGCCAATGGCAGGAAGAACACTAGAAATGCTTGTTCCATCAGGCATAAAACCTCTCAGATGCATCTCGTGAAAGACTGAAACGGCTTCCAAGAAACACCCACTCTGATTAAATCCGGCAATCAAACCGTTCCAGGATACCGAATTCGGCTGAATCCCCAATCTCCCCGTCTGGCCAAACACTTCTTTAGCATTCACCACGTCCCCTTCTTTCGCATAACCTGCTGCCAAGGCGCTCCAACTAACCACATCCGGCTCAGGCATTGTGTCAAACACCTTACGCGCATCTTTCAAGTCATTGCACTTCACATACATATGAACAAGGGCCGACTGGACAAAAGAATCCAGAGCAAACCCAGAAGAAAAAACATATCCATGAACTTGTCTCCCGACGTTCAGCGCGGCTAGCCCGGCACAAGCCCTGATCGCGCTGGGGAGAACATAAGTATCAGGAGCGACCCGTTGAGCCAACAATCTTGAAAACGCTTTGAGAGTATGATCAAAGAGACTGATCTTGGAGGAAGCATAGATGAGGGGAGCGAAAGAGAAGATGTCGGGATGCGGAAGGGAGTCAAGGAGGAGATTGGCGTCTGAAAAGCTGTGGTGGTGGGCGTAGAGGGAGAGGAGCTTGTTGACGAGATGGGTGTCGCCGGAAAGGCCGGTCTTGAGGATGTGGGCATGGGACTGTTGAGCTTGGATGAGAGTGGCAGCTCTGCTAGTGATCAGAGTAAAGGCATTGTCGTTGACCTGATGAGACCTTTGGAAGAATTGATTTTGCAGCGCTTTAGTTGGAGCAAAACATGCCCGCATGATGTTTGCTCTCTTTCAGTTGCTGAAAAGGAGGCCATTTTGATGAAGAACAAAATTGACAAATTGAAATCTTTAATGTGTTAAAAAAAAAGGGGGAAAAAATGTCAGAAGTGGGATTTGAACCCACGCTCTCTCACGAGAACCAGAACTTGAGTCTGGCGCCTTAGACCACTCGGCCATCCTGACTTGTGAGCTTCGTTACGGGCTAAAGCTTTTTAAAGTTAAACTTAACCGTATCTATGATACGGAGTAGTAGGGAATACGGTATTAATTTTTGGGTCAAGGGTGTTGATTCCTTTAAGCCTCAAAAGGTAGTACATTTTTAGCAGATTTAATCTCTTAAGACCCAAAATTCCATGCTAAAGGGACAAATACTTTAACTTTATCAATCACATATCCATAATTTTAAATGAGAAAGGGCATTTTAATTTTGAAATAAGAATTTCTTGGTTGATATAAATTTCCTTAAAAAAATATATTAATGAGATAATTTTTAGTTTTTTTTCATGATAATTTTTAGTTTATTATAATTGCAGGTCAAATATGTAATTATATTATAACTAATTTAATTTGTAAATGTATAGGAACATATTAAAAGAAAATTAATACTCCTTCCGTCCCTAAATGTTCTTCCAATTGCGGGTTACAAAGTTTGACTAACGATAAAGTTAAATGATTCATGTGAAAACTCGGATTATTTTTAGTAAATAAAATTTACATATTCAAAAATTACATTAAAACTGTTGCAAAGTCTGCAAAAAATAATTAAATTTTCATAAAATTTTGATGTATAAAGTAAGAGTTTATGAGTGATTTAAGTTGAATCTTGAAAACCAAATGGAAGTTCTTTTAGGGACGGGGGAGTATGTAATATGTGTTTGCAAGAATTTAATTGCAAATATTTTGTAAATTATTTGCTAAAACTAAAAAACTCAATTATTTAAAACTAGTTGAAATTCTCGAAACAAGGAGAAAATAAACAAAATTATTGAAGTTCACTTTAAACGGGTTAAAAGCCGTTTAAAGTTCACATTATTAAAATTACAATGGAATTAGAAGACATTCAAACCTCATCTATTTGGAAAAGCATGACCCAAGTTCAGGGGTGGAGACAGGGAGGCGTTGGAGGTGGTCACGGCCCCTGCAAGGAAATAAATTGTTAAGGACCGACCTCTTTAACCCTAAATGTTTGGCTCCGCCACTGCCCAAGTTTCACAAGTTTCATAGCACTTCAACAAATTATAGTAGCACTAACTTCATTAAAGTATTAGTACAAACCATAAACATATCTCATATCTGTATTCTGTACATAGTATATTGGGTTGATAGGGACAACTGCTCCCTCACTCGATGAACTTAATACATCAAACTTTCACTGTGGCCATAGTTAATACGGAGCATATAAATTCTCTATACTAATCCCTTATATGATTCTAAAATCGTATCAAACTCCCATGTGGCCATGTTTTATAATTAATCATGCAGGTTGCACTCTGAAGTAACAAATTTAGATGTCTAAAAGTCATTCTTAAGTGTTACTCGTATTATTTAAAATGACTGTAAGCTTATCAAAAAAAGTAAATGAAATAATAGTATATACGTAGTATGTGACTAAAATAAAGATAAGTATAATTATATATTGAGTTATTAAACATGAAACTACGCATATAGTTACCTTAATCATATTTTATACAACACGTTTTTGAGTCACATTCTAGAAAAATCCTTATTTTAAATTATACTCCGTACGAAATATCAAAGATTTTTGTCATATTTGATCGTCAAGTTTATTTCTTAGGATATTATTCTGAGAATTTAACACTTGTTTCTACTCTTGTAATATGACTAGTAAATATCCACCGAATTTGGTATAATTTTTCCTATTCTAATTTAGATAAGAACAAATAAACTATTATTTAAAGTGAAAAATAATTAAAATATCCCAAATTTTGAAGAATTGTGAGGTAAACATCCCAAACTTTCATATGTAATTTAAATACCCCAAACTTTTTATAAAAAATATATTTTTAACACCATGGCCATGTATTATTTAATTCAAAAATGTAAACTTGTAATTTTAATTGTATAATTTAAAATAGCAAATTGAAAACGTTGCAATTACATAAAGTGGGTGTAATACTATTTATTTTACAATGGAAGTTTAGAATGTTAATTGTATCTTCATGAATGCTAAAATGTTCTATATTAAAACAAAAAATTATCATTTTTGAAAGAAATGATATATAACCATTGTGCTAAAATAAATTTTATATAAAATTTGAAGTATTTAAATTACATATTTATATTTAATGTGCATACTTCAAAGTCATTCGAATTTTGGGGTATCTTAATTGTTTTTATCCTTAAAAACTAAAATACAATTGAGTTTTGGACCGGGCCGGGGATGTAGAAATTCAACTTTAGTGGCCCATTAAACTATTCAGGGAAATAAACCCTTCTTCAACCCCGTCCTCGCTCCTGTAAAACACTGACAGTGATACCGATGCTGATCCAACGGTGTATACTGGTCCGAGCTCTACACCGTCGTTGTCGTCACTTCTCACAGTCTGCCGCAGCAGTCTCAGCCCCATCGGAATCTCCATCTCTGGAATCTCCAACTTTTACATACCTAGACGGGTTACCGAAACCCGACCCTAAGTACGCGGAGACCATACATGCAATTCCGCGAGCTCTGTCCGGAAAGAACATCTCCGCCAAGGAGAGAAAAGCTGGCCGAACTCCCAGCATTGTTTTTGAGCAAGAGGATGGACAGCACGGCGGCAACAAGCGGCTCATTTCCGTGAAGACTAATCAGATCAGGAAGCTAGTTACACATTTGGGCCGGGCAAATTTCCTTTCCCGGCTGTTTGATCTTGAGCTCCGTCCCGATTTTGAGTCGGATGAGATCATTGAGAAAGTCAGGGTCTTGCCTAGACAGGTATGGGCCGCTAGGGCTATTTCTCTTTGGTGCTCATGGATTTAGATGTCCTTTAACATTGCTGGTAAATGTTTAAGTTGATTTTATTGTCTGTTAAGTAGAAATGTAAGTCTAGGATGTTAGTTGTCAACTATTATGAACCAGTTCAGGGCATGGTCACAATGATATGCAGCATAATATGCTGAACGTTCAGGAAATTGAAACTTGAAGCTGTGTTAATAATTAATCCTTAATGTATCTGGAGCACAATTCAAATGAGCCAATTACTATAGAGTTATACACTCCATATTTCTAAAGCTTCTCACTTTAATCGCATGGCTTGTCTTTTACCCCGTAACCCGTTACATTGTCTTAGGACTGAGATACTGACACACTAATGCATCATGATGTACCAATTATTTTATACTGTAGCTATTGTTGAGGTAAATGACTGTAGTATTGTACTTTGTATATATTTGCTCCCCATCTTATGAGAGTTTATCTACTACTACAACAACATTAACATCCAAGCCTTAGTCCCAAATGATTTTGGGGTCGGCTAATATGAACCGATACATAATAGAAAGGTGAATAGTATTTTAATTTAAATCTATAGAAGTTGCAAAAATCATCTTTTCTTGTCCATGTTGAGACTTAGAAAGAGCCAAAATTTAAGGGTGGTTCTGACTGAGTAACAATCAATTTAGACCGGCTTGTGCTGTTGAGTGCAAAAAATTTAAAGAACCACATGTGACTCTCTTATGGAGGGAGTCACATGGGTTATTGTGGCATCATCTCCATCACTTATTTTTTTAATGGAGACTTCCACTAATAAATTGAATGGTTGAGATGATGACACAATATCCATGTGACCCCATAAGGGAGTCACATGTGATTCCTTAAAACCATGTAGAGTGTGATTCAATAATGTACAAGAAAGAAATATTTATTCATACCGGACGATATTTTGAGTTACTTTGGGATCAAGGCTTGGTTAATTCTACACTCTACAGTATGAAATGGCAATGGTTTTATTCACCAAGGCGTCTGATATGCATACTGGACACCTTTTCCTTTGGCAAGAACAATGAGTTTTTAACTCAACAGGATAGCTAGGCAATATTTGAGTTTTGAGTGTCTTAGATTGACTTCCGGTTAATCCACTTTGAGTTTTGCATAGAAGTGTGCTGTATGCCAAATAATTTCATATAAACTACAGTCTTTAAGTTGCTTTTTATGAAGATGAACTGATTTTATTGTTTAATTTGATGTGTCAGATTCATCTACATGCAGGCACTGATGCTCCACTCAATGTTACCTTCATAAGAGCTCCATCAAGTGCTCTACTAAAGGTTGATATTCCTATCAGCTTTCGTGGTGAGGATGTCTCCCCTGGTTTGAAAAAAGGTTGGTGGGATTCACTATTTTGAATAGTTTTGGCCATTTCCGTAAGAAAATGTTTTGACCAAGTTTCTGCAAATGAAGGAACATTTTGGGATCACATATCCTCGTGAGGGACACCTTTCTCAAGGTTTAAATTGCAAAGAATAATCACAAATAACCTGCATTAGTAGAAATGTTCATGAATGAGACTTTATAGAAATTAGAATTACTATTTTTTGTTATTTTATAGAAGAATGAAGTTTTTAGTATCAATATGTGAATATAAAAGTATGGAGGGCACGATAAATTAATACATGTCTTTTTTGAAATTTTTTTTTTGCCAGTTTTCCATTTATTTTGTTCATTTACACGTTTTCATTGTTTAGACTTAAAATATTAATGGCGCATTAATTTGTTTCTTACCTAGTAATATGAGTTATGTCCAATTTGTAGGTTCATTCTTGAATATTATCAAGAGAACAGTGAAGTTTGTCTGTCCGGCAGATATAATTCCTCCTTACATTGACGTTGATCTAAGTGAGCTGGATACAGGGGAGAAGATAGTAATGGGGGATCTCAACGTTCATCCTGCTCTGAAGCTTGTTCAACCTAAAGATCACCCTGTTTGCAAAATTATGGGAGGGAGGGTTTCTGACCAAAAGAAGACGAAATAAATTCTCATTTTTGTTCATCCTTTGTTAAAATTCTGGATGGTGTAATTTTTTACCCTTGTCTCATTTATTTGTGCCTTGATGCTTAGTCAGTTGCTCAGTTGTTTGCTTCGAGGGAAATGGCTTTCCAAGAATGTGCAGAGACATCAATATACATCAAGAAGTATTCATCTGCTTGACGCAGTCGCAATTCAATGTAGATCACTTGTAATGGGCTGGTGCCTACCATAAACAATGTTACACTCAGCTGCTTGTAACCCAAAATATAAAATCTTAGGGTATGTTTGGAAGCTTGGGTTGAAGGAGAGTGGAAGATATTGAAGGTTAGTCAGAGGCCTGGAAGGGAAAGGGATGGAAAGTGAAGGAACTCATTCATTTTTGCCTTTTGGGGAGTTACAAATTTGAAAAGAGAGATAGCTATGAAAGAAATATAATTAAAATAATTTCAGAGGAAAATTGTTAAATCTGCCTTCGAAGTATATCAAAAAAGTCAGTTAAACCCTTGAACTAAACAAATGCTTAATTAAGCCTTTGAACTATATAAAAACGGTCAATTTTATGGATTATAATTTAGTTGGTTGATTCCGATCAATTAAGTTGGTCATTTGTTTACATGGCAACCCGGTATCCTGTTTTTCCTTTTCTTTTTTCCAATTCTTTTTTTCCTGCTAGCTTCTTCTCCCCATCCGCCCAACCCCTCCTCCCTTCTTCAGCTAGCTCCACGCCTCCCCCTTATTCTTATTCTTCAGCCCGCCCATCCCGCTTTCGTCATAGATGAAATCACAAGTGTAACGAACAACACCAACAAAGGGTCTCATATGATTGGATTTGAACAACCCCCTTCATTTTCCTTTATTCTGGCGGGTGTCTCCCCCCCAAAAGGCAATGTTTTTGGGTCGGAGAAATGGTGGAGCCTGAGCCTCTGCATGGTACGAGAGATGCCTCACCACTTCCTTAGCACCTGCCGAAGCTATTGGTATTTGGTATAGTAGCTCGGATCCCATAAAACAAGCAGCCATAAGGATTGATGGTTTTTCAAGTGCTCTCTCTCTTGATTTGGGTTATGTTGCTGAAGGGAAGCGGTTGTGGGCTGTTCAACTGGCAGGTGAAGAAGAATAAGGAAGAGAAGTGGGCGGGGGCGGCCGGGCTGAAGAAGAAGGGGGTGCGGTGCGACTGGATGAAGAATGAAGCAGGGGAGTTGGACAGGGAGGGCAAAGAATGAAAGATGTGGAAAACCAAGTACATATTGTAAAAATACAAGAATTATTTTATGATCAAATTTTGAGCAACAATACTTTTCTTATTATTTTGTGTACTATTATTGTACCGTGCATCTTGTATTTAGCAAAACAAATACGCCCATTAAGTAAATGGCATCACGTGCATTTTATTTCTAAAGATAAAGGAAAGAATAAACAAGAAAAAAACTTGCATAAAATATTGGCAACGATAAAGTCAAGGCCTGTGCATTATACCCCTAATCGAGTGAAATGTTCTCTAATTTCAACCGGCACGACTCTATACCGTTAACAAGCAATCTAAGTCTATCTTTTAGCTCGGAGATACCTTCCTCTAAAACAGCACATACCGGAAAAATAGGAACACCATGTACCCTTTGTTTGAGCTCTTCACAAACCTCTTCAGCTCCATCCTCGTCAATTTTGTTTGCCACAATTAAGGATGGCCGATCAGACAAGCCCGTGCGATAGTGCTCGAGTTCCAAAACCAAATCCCTTAGCTGCTCCCATGGTGCTATTCCTTTGTTACCACCAATGGCCGCCGCGAGGTCCACAACGTATGCCAAAACTTTAGTACGCTCTACGTGCCTAAGAAACGCATGCCCAAGTCCCCTGTTTTCATGGGCCCCACTAATGAGTCCAGGAATGTCAGCCACCGTGACCGAAAAATCATCGTAGTTCACGTTTCCTAAATTTGGACGCAGCGTTGTGAATGCGTAGTGACCCACCGCGGGTTTTGCCTTTGATAGAGCTCCAAGAAGGGTGCTTTTCCCGGCGTTTGGAATCCCGACAAGGCCAACATCAGCAATGCTCTTTAGCTCCAACACAAGAACAGTCTCGGATCCCGGGAAACCTGTGCTACTTATTGTTTCTGCTTCTTCTTCATCAGCAGTATCAGGATTGTTGTTCACCTTCAGCTTTTTCATTGGAGATGTCTTCCCTGTGGACAAATTACCGAAACCACCCTCCCCTCCCTGAGCAATAATTATTTGTTGGCCCGGTTCTGTTAACTCTGCTACATCATATTCCATGTTATCGCTTCCCTCCTCCTCCAAATCTTTTCCTGACAGAGCATCATGACTATCTAAATTTTCCATGAAATGGACAGAAGATTCATCTTGCATATGAGATATGTCATCAACATGAGGATGTGATATCCTGGAAGTGGTTTCGATTAGATTGTAGGGTGGAAGGGGTTGTGGAGAGGATTGGAATGAATTCGCGGCAGCAAGTGTGCCCGGAATATCCCAGGGGTCCAACATTGTTGAAGAAGTCTTCTGAACTGCAGAAGGAAGTTCTCCTTCAACGACATGAATTACAGTACCAATTGGTACTTGGACAACCTGTGGCAAAAAGTAGGAGCGTATTCATTAATGACAATAAAACCTATATAAATGGTATAAACAGGGTTTAAAATAATGTCATATCACATTTAACCCCCCCCCCCCCAAATGTTTGACTTACATAATACTGCATTTGCCATTTATATAGGTTAATGTCATATCACATTTAACCCCCTCAAACGGAGTATATGGCATGCAAATCTTGTAAATGTAGTCTCTCAATTGTCAGGTACTTGAGATACAATTAGCCAATTCCGTGTCCTAAATCAGGTTTCATGTTGGTTTGTTTTTTAATTTTTATTTGAAGCCCACTAATGTAAAATAGCACGTTTAGAGTCAGTTTGGCTCATTCATTCATCCTTCAAATTGTCCAGCCCAGTTGGAGGAATGTTAAATGTCCTGCATCACTAGATTTCTATCTATCTAATACACAAGTATGATATACATTACCTATTTGTGAATTAAGTCTAAATTAGTAAGTATAAAAGGTATGAGGAGGCATTCGAAACAATGCATAATACCGAGAATGTCCATGTATGAGAATGACCCCAAAAAAAGCCAATATTTCACGGTGAGAAAAGCAATTTTAACAGGAGGGACTAATTGTATATAAATTGTAACAACTGATGGACTGGATTTACAAAAAAATGGAAAACAAGTGATTGGCTATATGATGGCAAACTGTTGTGGGACTAAAACTGAAATTTTAAAGTAATTATTTAATTAAAAGAAAAGTAGATAGCACAACCTTGTCAGTGCCCCGGCTTCCGATCATATTTTTAGAACTTCCGTGTCCCCCTCTTCTTGCATTCTGGATATTAGCAAAGTAACTATAAATTTGTATCAACCCATGAAGAATTGAGATGCAACAACAACAAAACATAATAGAATATCCAAATACATTAATAAGTGGAAAAACGCACAATGTGATGTTGCAGACTGCTGAAATCCCAAACTGCGGGAGAACATTCTAAGATGACGTCACCTCCTCGCCCACCATTTCCGCCTGACATGATGCATCAAGAAGAACATATGAAAGAGTAGTCAAAAGCGAGTGCTAGGCACTTAAGCAAACTAGGTGAGGCGCATACGAGGGTCTGCACCTGTTAGAGTCCCAGGCGCAGGCGCGCAGCCAACTAAGTGAGGCGCTATAAGAGCAAAAGCGCTTAAGCGTTGAAAAGCGCACATTTGAAGGAGTGTTTGCTATTGCTTCTACTTTTAAAAAAATGATTTTAAAGTGATTTTAGATAAAATGCTTAATAGTAGAAGTTGGTATTGTTTGAGAAAAAAGTGTTTTGGAAAAGTAAATGTTGATGGTGTTTGGTAAAAAAGTGTGTTGTGTGTAATAGAAAAAGTGAAAAGCGGTTAAAAGCAACCCTCCACCTGCCTTCCAACTTTTAGCATTTAAGTCCTTAAATCGGGCAGAAGCAATCACTTGACGGCACTCATTTCAGCTTTTTAAGTCAAAAGGTGAAAAGCATTTTTTTAGTTTTTGCAAACACTCTCTAAGTCGCTTGAGCGGGGGAAGGCTTAGCCTATTTTTCTGTTTGATCCTACTTTAAATAATAAGCCCATATTTATAATAAGATTTAGCCCATCCAAATACTAGATCAAACAACTTAAACCCATGTTTAACCCTTCTAAGTTACGGTAAAAGTTTTATATCATGACTTCATCGTTACTCTCCTACGCTCTGTACTCTACTTGTTGATCCTTTTTTTATTCTTTCAGTCTATCTTCTTTCTTCACTTTTACCACTTCCAGTCATTTATGCATACTTTATAGTTCTCTTTGCTTCATCTTATTATACTTTATACTTTATAGTTCTTTACTTCATATGTACTTGACTATGCACACTTTATACTTCTCTTTGCTTCTTATATATTCTATACTTTATAGTTCTCTTTGCTTCTTATATATTCTATACTTTTATAGTTCTCTTTGCTTCATCTTATTATACAGTCTATAACTCTATATCTTCTTATTATCATTTCACACTTTTAATTGAATAAAACTTCATATAATCTAACTCACGTAATAGTTTCATACATTGTATAATATATACGGAGTACATATATATGTATGTATATGCTAGCCCTAGTCCTCAAACTGCAAAATCAGCAAAAACAGACCCCACGTAGTGTTTTGTTTTTGTGAACCATGAGTCATGACTTTATTTTGGTGAATCGTGACTTTGTTTTTTAGAAATATGAAGTATAACTTTAATACATTTAGTTCAATGTGATGTTGAATATGTCATATTTGATCACTCTAGAATAGTATACATATTTTTTTCCTAAATAATGCGCTTAGCACGAGTCAGTGAGCGCTTTTTTGCGCCTCGGGCGATATAGGTCTCTTGCGCCACGCGATTTTGACTACCTCGTTACATATCAAAATGGCTATATGCAGTTGATATATAGAATATTAATCATGAAACATGTAGATACCAATTGGCTGAGATGTGATGCAGATCTGTTTATAACCTTCTCCAAGAAGTTAATGAAATGATATGGTGAAAGCCTAAACTCTACATACTAACAAAGACGGAAGATCAAAAGCTGCTGCGCAGATAAGCTCTGAATTCCACATTGGATGTTAAGGGGCAGTGAGAGAAATATACAACATTAATAAGGACTAAAATAAATCTCCAAAGAAAATATATTGAAAAAAAGAGTAGTTTAGGCCCTTTTGGTTGGGGAATTTCAGAGGGGAGAAAAAGATAAGGAGTGATATTTAGTTATTAATTTATCCTTACATTTAGTCGGTTAGAAATTTAGTGAAGATAAAAAGTTTCACAGAAACAAATGATGACTAAACCAACATTTTTTTATAGTCTAGGTAAAACAAGCTCCAAGTGCATTTTCAGTTTTAAATTTTCAGTTTTAAATTTTACAATTTTAAAACTTATATAGGTTTTATAATGAACTTAAAAACGCAATTCTCCCCTGAAACGAAACAAGCTCTAAGTGCATGATTAGGAACAAAGTGATAAAAATAGTAGATTGACGTACAGTAAGAAAACACAAGAGGGACTGAAATAAAGTGAGTTAATTCAAAGCAAGGTTTTTTTTGAAAACTAACCGTCAGGTCTTCCAAAACGATCCTGACGGCTACGACGAAAGCTGTTACAGCCATTTCCACCATCACCACCTTTAGCCCATATTCGGAAACGGTCTATCATCCTTCGCTCCTGCAAGAGAAGCATTTTATGTTTGTAAGATTATAAAATATATTAATGTCTGGCTGTGCAGGCAAATAAGCTAGCCAAGACCAAAGTGGCAGAGTGTAACAGACCTGTAGTGGGGCAAGCTTCGACTTCTTGTGAGAGAAGTCTGAGAAAAAACATGACTGAAAACCCGAGTTTGATTGAGTGAATTTTCGCAAGAATAGGGTTTTCCCACGATAGAGCCACATATTAGTGTCAAGCTGTCACCCTCCTCATGCAGTTAAGTATTAGTTGACTGCACAATTAGATATCGATAAAGATTCTATTGCATATCTTGGCCTTCACCAGCTTTTCATTCAAACCCACAGCATGTCAGCATCTATAATACATAATTTTCAAATGGCAAATATCAGAGATTCCGTAAATAAAATAAATAAGTACATATCACAACAAAGGCGTAACGAATACAAAGAAATAAGCATACTTCTCTGAATCTAGAAATTCTATAGTTTAAATATATTTGACCGATTCAAGAGAAGTTTGATCATACTAATTTTAGGCGAGTAGGCGGGTAGTCGTGGAATCGGGCAGACGCAAGCGGTGGACAGGCGGAAAGGGAGTGGGTGCCGCCGCGCAGGCACGCCGCGGTCAGTCGGAGCTCGTTTTCCTTCTTCGCTCTGCGTTCTCTGCGACCTTGGCGAGTTCAGGAAGGAGAAGAACCGAAGAAGGTTTTCTACCGGTTGAGTTGTTGGGTTTGGGACTTCTGACTGGGTATAGCCTATCGGCTTACACTGGGCCATAATTTTATTTGGCTGGATCAACTTTAATTTAGGTGTGTCTCGAGAAATATGGATGTTTATACTCGTAACTTTATATTGGACTCTGATTTGTTTCAGATCAGATCAGATCAGACCAAACCAGATTTGGATAGTTATAAAAATACAAGGGAAAACTATCAAATAAGCCTTGTACTATACCAAAAAAGTCAATTAGGCGGGTAGTCGTGGAATCGGGCAGACACAAGGGGATTATAGTCCAAGTAAAAACATCCTATATATAATGTAATAGAATGTTTTCGTAGGTAAAAATTCACCAAAACTCATTCAAATAAGTAATACTACCTCTGTCCCTAATAAAACTTCCAAATATGTTGGGCACACAGTTTAAGATAGTGAGTATTGTGTGGTGGAGAGTTGCGCAGAAGAGAGAGAAATATGTAAGAAATGTTGTGAACTACAAATTCTTTACCAAAAAGGGAAAGTGGAAGTTTTAATTGGGACGGACGAAAAACGAAAGTTGAAAGTTTATTTAGGGACGGAGGGAGTAATAAAAGGAAAATTGCTATAGGTACCCCACTTTTACCCCATTTTTTACCTCATATAAAAACTCTCCCCCACTTTTCTTCTCCCCTCCTACCCTCTCTCCTTTTCACGCAGCCCCTCCATCCTCTCCCCTTTCTTTCTCTTTTCTCCAAATCTTGATTTCTTCTTCATTTCAAGATCTCTTCCTTCTTTAATACTTCTCATTTTTTCCATATTCCCCCCCTTCAAGCTTCCTCTCATGCTTCTCTCCTCTTTCGTCTTTTTTTTTTTCGTTTCAAATGCACGAGCTACAGTAATCGGACGAACAGGGAGAGCTCTAGTGATGTTGGATACATGGGGAGACATCAATGAAGGTGCAGACCAAGAAGCTTTGAATGACTTGAGCAGATCTTCTTCTCTTGATTTTTTGGTGTGTTTTTGAAATTAAAAGAGTTGTCTGTCTGACAGACAATTTGTAAGTGCAGTGTATGTCTATCTGTAATTGATGGTTAATTGTTTTTCATTTGATTTGAGTTGTCTGTATTTGTTTTGAGTTATCTGCATGTAATTTCTGATGTTTATTTTTTGAGATGTAATTAGTATAACGAGACAGACATTAAATATACACATACAGACATGACTTTATTATGAATTACCATTTTGACATATGTTTCATAAAAAAGACAGACAATACGTATAATTAGACAGACAATAGAGATAACCAGACAGACATTATTTTTTACCACAAATTACATACAACTCACAATGAAATGACAAACAACTAAATATGAGTTACAGACACCTCACAACAACATAACAGACAAGTCATTACAGATAACTCAAAACAAATACAGACAACTAATAAACAAATGACAAACAATTAAATATCAATTACAGATATTTATTTTTCAAAGGACAGACAACTTCACGACTCTTACAGATACTGCACTTACAAGTTGTCTGGCAGACAGACAACTCCTTTTATTTCCAAAATACATCAAAAATCAAGAAAACAAAATCAAGAAAAGAATGTTTGTTGCTCAAGTTATTCAAAGCTTCTTGGTATGCCTTCGTCGTTGTCTTACCTTGAGGTTGCATCCGAAATGGCAACCGGCATAGGCCCGCCGTCAGCAACCGGCGTAGGGCCACCGTCGGCAACGTCACCGGTGGAAGAGGAGATAAGCAGGAGAAGATCAGAGGTTGAAGGGAAGAAGATGATAAAAATGGGAAGTTTTAAAGAAGGGGAAAGATATTGAAATGGAGAAGAAAGGGGAAGGGAAGGGAAGGGAGGGAGGGAGGGAGGAAGAGAGGTGGGGGTGCAGGAAAGAGGGAAGAAAAGTGGGGGTGAGTTTTTATATGGGGTACAAATGGGGTAGGGTTTGGGATACCTATAACAAAATTGTAATAAAAGTCCATCACTAATTATAGTAAATTGTGTATAAACATGTAACTATAGGTGTAATTATAGTAAATTGTGGAGTGACTCCCACAATTATATAAGATGTAAATTGTGTGTATCAACATGTAACTATAGGTTAATCAAAATATAAATTATACTCATTCAAACTGTATAATTTATAGACAAATTATAAAATTCATTTAATTTAACTTGTTTCCAAGTTACATTTAAATAGACTAAAATTACATTTCTCAAATTATAATGTGTAACTCATTGAAATATAAACTGCTTTGATTCATATGTAACTTAGAAACAAGTCAAATGTAACTTGTGAAATTTAATTTTAGTCTATTTAAATGTATCTTGGAAACAAGTAGATGTAACATGTCAAATCAACATCCACAAGAATAGAAAAATTCAGTGTTCTTCAACACACAAATATGTGGAAAACAAGTTATCTATGTTGGTCCTCTTAAATTATGCATTTGCCTGAATTAGAGTTTGTTACGTAGTTGGCTTTAGAGCCCGTTTGGTAGCACGAAAATCGGCTGTTTTGGCTGATTGTGTTGAAATTTGTGAAGTTCTGGCTGAAGTGGCTGCATTGGCTGATTCTGCTGATATAAGGGAGGGGGGGATTTAAAATATATTTTATTAATAAAATAAAAAAAAGTTATACTCCCTCCGTCCCTTAAAACTTTGCCAACTTTCCTTTTTTGGATGTCCCACTAACTTTGTCACTTTCTCTTTTAAGTAAAGAATTTGTGGTTTGTGTTAATTTTCTCTCCGCTGCACAAACCTCAACCACACAGTTTTTAATTTATTAATCCTCGTGCCGGTCAAACTTGGCAAAGTTTTAAGGGACGGAGGGTAGTATGTAAAATAGCTAAAATGGTCATCTACAATAACTTCAGCCAATACAGTCAGAAAAATAACTCCAACCTTACTTTTTCTGCTTATTACACAATCCAGCGTGCGAAATCAAAACTTACGTGTTTGGTGAAAAAGTTGGCTGATAAGCTTGATAAGCCAAAAAAAACAGGGTTGCCAAACGGGTTCTTAGTCTCATTTTCAATTAGTTGAAGCTGACACATCCGTTTCGATTGCACTGTAATACATATGCACGAAGTATAACACATTCAATTAAGCAGATTCGTATTAGCAAAGGAATTAATTTTTTTTCCGCATGGGCGAGGCATACGCTGGATGGCTGGAGAAGACGATGATTTTTTGTCCGCTTTGTTTTAATTAATAATATTACGCCCTCGTTTTTGGGGTCGGCACACCATGCACATGATGGGCCGATCCCACTGTATAGTTTGCTGAAATCCATAGGATGATTGAGCTAGAACACCATGATTTTCATAGATTCCACATAAATAAATCCGGGACACCTAAATTTTCACAGAATTATAAACTTTATTAAAATCCTCCATAATACATATTCGGGACCCCCCAGTTTTCGGAGAAAAGCACAGAGGTGGGAAAAATCCCACAAAATTGCTATTGAGAGACACTAAATTAAATTAATCAAATAATTTATTTTTAAATATATGTTTTGCCCCTAAACAAATACAACCTATCCATCCAGACAGCCGCATCCATTAACCGGAGTGACGTTCATAAATAAGCTAGTTGACGGGGTATACTCGTCTTCCACCAATTCTTTGACGGACTTAGACCAACCTTGCTAGCTAGACTTCCTTCCCATCCCCGTCGGACTACTTCCCGTTGTTTGCCAACAATAGATGCATACCCTTGTGAGTTGGTATTCTTGAATGAAATGCTTGACTTTTGTTATTAATTTTTCGAGTAAAGGGTCAGTTTGGTCCTCGAAGTTGCAAAAAAGGGGTCAAATAAGTCCTTATATAGAAGATTCTGTCCGGACGTGCCATTTGAGGTGGCTCCCGGTGGAATTTTTTGATGAAATTGTTTGAGCATCTTATTCATTAAGTCTAGTTTACTCATACCAAATTTCAGATAAAAATTCAATCGGGAAGACATTCAAATGAATTATTGAAAATAACTGTGCCGTTAAAAACGCTGTTATATTCAAGAATTCATTTGAATGTCTTCCCGATTGAATTTTTATCTGAAATTTGATATGAGTAAACTAGACTTAATGAATAAGATGCTCAAAAAATTTCATCAAAAAATTCCACCGGGAGCCAGCTCAAATGGCACGTCCGGACAGAATCTTCTATATAAGGACTTATTTGACCTCTTTTTTGCAACTTCGAGGACCAAACTGACTCTTATCCCTTAATTTTTCTAAAAAAAACATATTGCTCATTAAATTAATGGTTGTGTGGATAAATTAAATCTTGCATTAAATTTTTAGTTTATATGCTCAACTACTCATTAGCTAATAGCTATCTTTCTTAATAGATTTAATGATTTATGGTGTTTGTTTCAATGTTATTGTTACAACAAGTGGATTTAGAAAGGAAATTAAATAAAAGAATTTAAATGAAAAATTGGTGTCAGGAAGGTGATACAGGTGCTTGATCGCAGAATGATCACAGACCGATGAAGTTCTAGATATTGATTGAGGCGTGCATCGATTGAGTGTTGTGCATTGAACGATAGTTGGGGATATGTTTAATTAGGGTAAATTAGATATTTGATATAATTGTATTAATTAAAATTCAATTATGTGGCTGTAAATAATAATTTTGTGACTGCGTATAGAATTGTCCAAAATCGAACTGAAACCCGAAAAGCAACCCTTCCCCGGCCCAAATAATGTTCTCAATTCAGGTTTTTTCTTTTTAACCCGTCCAAATAAAACAATCCGGACCAAGACCGATAATTCGGGCTCATAAATAGGCCCTAAAATCCGGCCCGAAACGATAAAAACCCAAAACAATCAGGTCTAATATAAAATCAATATAATATACGAATATAACTTAAGAATAAATCCTAATATATGATTATAATCATGATGGATGAAAACATGACTTATTAACTTTTAGTGACTACGAATATGTTCAATTTGTATACCGTATGACCATGAAAATATATTTATAGTAATTTTTGTCACATTTTTCCCCATAAGTTATTTTCATAATATTTTTAATTAGAAAACCTATATTATTTATATGTATGCA